GAGGCCACCTTACTGTCGAGCGCCTTGGTTCACCATTTCCCAGCGTGCAAACACGTCTCACACTGTGCCCAGGAAAGCCACCGGGGTGTTCCCCAACTTTGACATTCTCCCACGACAGCCAGGGCGCGGGTGAAATGATGGTGCATGGCTGGATGGAAAACCATGGCCCCAAATGTGATTTATGCAGGAGGGATGCAGACTGCCTCCTGTACCCCCAGGAGGAATGAGTGTTTACCTTCTGGAGGTACAGGTTCCAGCTAACAAATGGAGCATTCTCTGAGCGTGCACTCCAGGCCTCTGGAGGAGGAAGCCCTGGTGATCCTTCCTAACATTGGACAAGGACACATGGTATCTCAAGTGTGTCTGGATTACTAGCCCCATGCTCGGACGGGTTGATCTCAGATTTAAGTGTAGACAGCATGTTTTCGAAAGGAACTTGATCCCTCCTGATTTTACTGCAAACCAGGGAACCATGGTCACAAAAGGCTCCTTTCACAGACAGGAAGAGTTTTCACCTGGAAAAATAAACTGACAAAGCCAACATTTACATATTGCTGATGATATAGTGCCCTCAGAGGAAACCCTACCCTGCCTTTTAGCTAATGGTGCATTCTAAAAGATGGAGACGTATGGTAATACATAATCTGTCTGTTTCCTGTCCCAGTGTCTGTGCGATTCCCACCGAGTGCTCTCTGGGAGACTGCCTCCCTGCCTCTGTTCTGCTGAGCCAGCCGCTGTTAGAGAACAAGACCCGTGCCCCTCACGGCAGATCTTCAAACACTTGGCCTTGTCCCGTGTTTTCATGCTTCCTCCAAAGGCTACACAATGATTTTTCACTACCAAAATCTTGAGGAAAAATAAAATACACAGGAAACAGACATCGTGTAAGCCGTCCTTGGAGAGAGGGCTCATCTTGAAGTGGCCTCCAAGAAGACAAACGGAAGTGCTGGGTTCTCCTACCAGAGGTGACATCTCGGATGAAAACCTCTCATCTTACACGTTTTTAGCAGACTTTGATACACATCAACCAGAACAGACTGGCTTGGCCTGATTCTGGCTACTGGGATGAAAGCAGGTACAGCAGGTCTAGAGTGAGAAGGACCTTGGTGTACATGTCTGGGAGGGGAGGATCAGCTGGGTCCTGTTGGAGGGGGGTGGGGGAAGGTGTCACAGGTTAATAGACACCACTAATAAGGCCATGATCCTGAGACTCAGCCTGATCTTTCCAGGGAGGTTCTGTAAAAATCCACAACCACGCTGAGAGATGGGGTGCCATGGGCTGGCACCTGCCCTTCCCATAGACCTGAAGCTGGGGGTTGAGGCAGCATTCTACAGAGGAAGCCACAGGAACATCGTTATTCATCTACACTCATCAGTCTATCCCTTACCATATTACAAGATATCACATGTCCTTTTGAAGAGTGCTACCTGAATTCATGAATTCATGCTGTAAAAAATTAGCACAGGCTTGTTCGGGGTGTGATTTGGAGGAGAAGGGGTGTGTAACCGCTCTGCGACCCTGCTGGCCCGACTCTGACCCCGGAAGCCCCGTGCTGCTCTCCTCGCTGGCACTCTAAGGCTCCGTGCACAGCAGCCAGTTCCAACGTGGGCCCCGTAGGAAGCCTCTGGAAGCTTTCAAAGCTTACATCAAAAGCCCAGGTTAAAAATCTACACTGCCTGTTTCCAGAGTGGCAACAAAAGTTCTTTTTTATCCCTTGATCACGGAGCTCACCTGTAGGAAATGTTACACCTTTTTATTAAACCGATGAATTGTCTCTTCTGCGTGAACTGGAGACACTCTTGACAGGCCGAAAGTCATTAACACCTCCCAGGAATGCCGGGTAGAGCCGGGAGCACTCTCCCGCCCTTGCCTCTGCATGTCTGGAAACCAAGCCCCTCCACTCACAGGACCCTCGAGCGTATTTTCCTCTTGATACTTACCTGGCTGATTTATTGAAATGAGCAAAAGCTTCTCTGTTGGCAGGATGGTCCCCGACACAGATGTGTACAATAAAACACATTTGCTGTTTTCAAATAAAGACCTTGCCTTAAATTAGCAAACGATTGGATTACTCTGACAGGTTGGCAAAACAAACCGTCATTCAACGGTTGTCACGGCCTATCTGGACGCATCTTCCTGGGGTCTGGCCAAGGCGCTCACCAGAGAGGAGTGAGCGAACAGTCAACACTGTGCCTTTGTTGCCTTCCTTTAAGGATACTTTGGAAATCAAACTTGCTTCATTGTAAAGAACCTGATGAAAACAGACATTTTATTTTAATCTACTCTCAGCCAATAAAGAGTGGTTTGTTCTCCCCCTCTTCCTTCCTTCCTCTCTGCTCCCTTTAAAAAAAATCTAAGCCTTGAACACTTTCCAAGGAACAATGACCTACCATTGTGAGCAATACTCATCTCCCTTTTCTTTGCCTAACAAAATAACCTCCAAAATCGGCAAATACATTTATGAATTTTACTTTCAAATATTCAATTCAACAGGTAGAGTCTGTTCGTTTCTCCTAGGCACAGCCTGTTGGAATTGATTGGGATTTTTTTTCTTTCTATCAGGAAAGTGATTGGAGTAGTGCTCGATATGACCAGGTGTGGACTTCAGAAATGTTTGCATCAAAATGGTTCTATCTTTTATTTCCATTCTCCAGGGACTATTTTCCTGTACCTTCAGACATTGGAGGAGTCAAGTACTAAAGAGCATGAAGCTAGCTGACTGCACATCGTGCACCGTTTGCTACTTCCTTTTCAGGTTCACCTACTGGGCCCTTTCAACTCATCTTTGAGTTTGTATAGTTCATAAATCTCTTTCGATGATGACAGGACAGGCAAATTGCATCGTTTTCAGATGATGTTCAGAAGGATGCTGCCTTGTTGGGGGTATTCAGGATGCCTTCAGTGCTGCCTCTGAGTACAGGCTGTGCTAGAGGGACATTGACTCCGTCACAGCAGAGTGCTGGGGCAAAGAGGTGCACAGTACACGTTCCCTGAGTGAATGAAAACACACAGCTAGAGTGGACTCACAGGCAGACAGCCACCAGCAAACACCAGCTGCTGTCTTGTACGCACCATCAGAATACAGTGGAAAGGGGTCGAATCCAGAGGCTGCTTCCTTCTGGGTGTTGAGGAAATGCCGTCCAATTCTAAAGAAAGCTCAGACAGCCTGCTGCTCCAAACTGTAATGTCTCGGAGATTCTGGAATGAATGGGAAGGAGAGAGGAAGGTGGGGAGGGGGCAGCTCTCCCCTCCCAAGCAGCAGGTTCCACAGCAAAGCAGAAAGACAGTCGGAGGCTGGGTCTGACCAAGAGGAAATGACTCGCTGAGCCTGGGAGGAAGCAGGTTTATGCACAACCTGCCACTCCAGCGCCCCAGGTGCTTGCAGAGGGCCCAAGCAGTGCGAGGTGGGGCTTGAACTTCAAGGACAATTCCAGAGGCATCCTCAGGCAGGCACCACCCACCAAAACCTGCCGGTGGGAAAAGGCTCACTTGCCTGTGTTGTATGCACACTGTTTATTGCAGAGTGACATCATACCTGTGGTAGTTATTTTATCACTGCAATTAGTTCATTTGACTGTCAGGTCTGCATCTAGTATTGGGGAGGGCGGAAATGATGATTTCAGCAAGTTGTAATCACAAGGGAGCATCTTAGAAGATTTCCCAGCCCCATACCCAATGTAGCACAAAACATGATAAAGTCAAAATAACTTCAATCAATGCAGCCTTGCAAGGGGTATAACAGGGCTGTGTTTTTGTGGTTTTCTTTCATCCACTTTGCAGCTCAGTCTCCCCTGCCAAGTTTAAGGTCAGAGTCCATATGGACCTGACCCTCAGCCTGTGGTGTTCACACAGCACCTGGGTTTGCCATGCTGTGAGTCCCAGCATCTAGCATGTGTCACTGTGCTGTCTGGACTCATGCATGTGGGTTACAACTCTACTCTGCAGCATTACTCTAAACTCACTTGAAGGCGAAGGGAAGGGTGGAGGACTGGGGGGAACCGGGGCTGGGAAAACACTGCCTTGCCTGAGAGGAACAGCACAGAGGATACAGGTAACCCAGCATCCAACGCCAGCCACAGGCTCACTCTTGCCTTTCCGGCTTCCTCACACCCCGCAAGGCTGCTGATCATGGATTCTCTGCGAAGGGAGTTCTGTCTGCTCACATGCCTGATGATTTTCTCTCCCTCTTGCCTGTCTCTGCCTCTGCAATCAAACCCCAAGAGGAGGAGGCTGGCCTTCCTGGGCAGGGAGCTGGATGCTGGCACTTCTTATGTTGAGCAGATGCAGAAGCGCCCCTGCAGCCTCTTGGCATGGAATGGACAAGCAGCTCTTTTTTTTTTTTTTTTTTTTTTGACAGGCAGAGTGGACAGAGAGAGAGACAGAGAGAAAGGTCTTCCTTTACCGTTGGTTCTCCCTCCAATGGTCGGTGCGGCCAGCGCGCGGTGGCTGGCGCATCGCGCTGATCCGAAGCCAGGAGCCAGGTGCTTCTCCTGGTCTCCCATGGGGTACAGGGCCCAAGCACTTGGGCCATCCTCCACTGCACTCCCAGGCCATAGCAGAGAGCTGGCCTGGAAGAGGGGCAACCGGGACAGAATCCGGCACCCGACCAGGACTAGAACCCAGTGTGCCGGCGCCACAAGGCAGAGGATTAGCCTATTGAGCCACGGCGCCGGCTGCAGCTCCTTTAATTGAGTGACCTGTGCCAGGGAAAAGGAGGAGAAGAAGGAAGAAAAGAGAGAAAGGGGGGAGGAGACAGAATTTATTCTGCCTTTGGGAAGGACCTGGACACTGTGCATACCTGTTTGGGCCACAATTAACCTCAGAGGGACTGTCTTAAAACCCTTGAGGTTGTCAAGATGGGATCCTGGCCTGATTATCAGCCTGATTCCAAGGCAGGGTTCTCTGATGGAGACTCCAGTGTTCACTTCATTATGACACAGGTTAAAGAGATCCCCTTGTCCCAACCCAGTGACACTGACGCTAGTCCTTTCTACTGCAGAAAAACATCCCATAGCAAGTGGCCCTGTGAAGAGTGGCAACATGGCAGGTGCTGCCTGCTCCTCAGGCACCCCAGAGAACCGATGTGTGTGCTTGCTGGTGAGTGGACCAGGGGCCCAGGGTGGGTGACAGGCAAGTGCTCTGGCCTGAGCCCACAGCGTTTCTGACTCCAGGTTCCCCCAGAGAGGCCTGCAGACAGCCTGAGTCAGGTGCTGCTCTTGGCGGGCTGCATGGTGCAGTGTCTAAGGGTCCTGCGTCTTGACTGTAACTGAATTCTGAGAGGACACAGTGGTCCCCTTTTAGCTCAGCTTTCAGAATTCTCCCCCTGGAAACCTCAGAAGTAAAATGCAGCTTGGACAAGATGTTCTCAGGGTGCGCACCCTACTCCCCTTTGTGACGGCAGCTTCATATCAGGTTTAAGGCTGCTGTGGTCTGCATGTTGGTGCCTCTGCAGTTCTCACTTGGGGATCTTCACCTCCCTTCCAAAGTGATGTTGTTAGGAGAAGTGGGCTCTGGGAGGTGGTTGGGTCAGAGGGTTGTGATGGGATCAGTACAGCTGGACATGTTCATAACGAAGTGAAGTCTTTGTTGCCTGCCGACATCTTCCTTGCTAGAATTCAAAGCAAGTTCCTGCCAGATTTACACAAACTTACAGACCTAATTATTTTAAGTTTAGGGAGGAGATTAGGTAGAATTTTGTAGCTAAACTTGTTTGGGAAACACTTGAAAGGTACAGAAACAACAGGCCAATTACACAGGAAATTCTTGTCCCTTCAAAGGCAGAGGAGGAGAGTGGAGACCAGGAAAGATGGAGGAAAGGGGCACTGCCCCCATGAACAGGCAGGAGTCACCGCCCCCCAGTGGGGAAGACCCAGCAGTCATCGCTCCGTGAGCCTGTGTCACTGCAAGCCTGGCGGCCGAGGCGTTTCACAGCCTGTCCCGCACTTGCTGCACTCTCGTCTGCAGATTCCTGTTCTCTGCTTTCACTTCATGGCTTCCCTGACCTGGAACAGGTAGCATCAGCCAACATTCCCCGAGTGTGAGGTTCGCCCCGAGGACGTTAGCTTAATTCATCTGCAAGTAATACCTTGGAGAGACGTGGATTTATTTAGACCTCTGTGCATGAGGAAACTGAGGCATAAGGGAGCGGTGTGCACACCCCTGGGCTACACAGGACACAAGAGCGTGTGCTCACCCTGGATCTGGAGCCAAAGTCCCTGCTTTCCAATCAAATGAACGCGCTTTGCACGGCATTTGCATAACGTGTGTGTGGGATGATGGGCTCAGCTCAACAGAGCAGGAAGAATTCTGTCATCCACAGCGTTTTGCTGAAGGAATGAACAGCTCTTCCATAGAAATTTCAATGAATTGAAATCCTAAGATTTTTTTTTTTTCCTCATGCATGGGTGTCTTTTTTCCACTGTTCCTGTATGTGGCCCACTTCTGTCTTAAGCACATTTTTAAAAAATTACAGATGTGTAATTAAGTGGTCTCATTGGTGACACATTTGAGGAAATCTTGAAGTAGGGTATTAATTCCTGAAATTAGTGCCAGAAAATCTCCAGGCCTTAAGGATTTGGTTACCACCCTAACCAGACGGCATCTCAGCCTGTGAACATAAATATGCCAATTAGCGTTTCACAAGGAAATGCATGGCTGAAAATCACAAAACAGCAGCCAGCCTGCCTGCCTGCTTCCTGTCTTTCCTTCCCCAACCCAAGTATTATTCAAACGAGGGGATATGGTCACGAGCTGCTTCCAATAAAGAACTCGCATCAAAAACTGCTTCTCAGTCACCCGTGACCCGTGCTGATGGCCATTGTCAGGCCGTGCGATTAGCCGGACCATGGAGGAATGGTGATGTGGATTCCTCAGTGCAGGCCCCTCCGCTCTCCTCCCAATTAACACCAAGAGCCCCCTGGCCACAGGCGATTCTGAGTGCTTTGCCTGACTTAATTTTGCTTTTAGCACTCAGTGCCAGGAATACCTAGAAAATTATCTACTAATTATCTAGCATTATCTGTGTTGGTTCATGTCTAAAAAACAGCTCTTCTAATTACAAGCCCCCGTGCTATTTGCCTCCAAAGAGTGGGTTTAGCTGCGAATTTCTCCAAAGGGGCTTGCACTAAAGGCTGGTAATTATGTGCTTGGAGTTCTTCAGAGGGCGTCCTCTCGGGTATCACAACAAACACACTGAGTCGAAGGATGCTCTCACAGCAGGTGAGCGGCAAGCAGTAATTACACCTCCACACTGCCAGTGTTCTCTTCTGGACAAGAAGCAAAGACATGCTAACTCATCCCCAACATCCTCGGGAGAACTGCGGGCTCACTTGGCCGGCCTCCACGGGCCGGACACACGGTCACAGCACAAAGCCCTCGCACCTGCGCGTGTCCAGGGGTGAAGAAGGAAAGAGCGCTGGTACTGGGGGCTGGCTTCCGGTCCTACTCAGCCATGCACTGATGGCTGGACGTGTGGCCGCCTCTGCACGTCCCACGAGCAGGCCAAGCTAGCAGTCCCCACGCCTGCCGTGCTAGGAAATGCTGACGGAGCAGCTGCCGGAAGAAAACGTCTTTCACTTCTCAGGGAAATGATGCCGCAACTCCTTTCTGTTTTTCTTTTCAATTTTGAAATAATTACAAACCTTGAAACAAGTTACTTTTTCTTGCAAGATTTGAGAGGAACTTATTGACCTAGCGCCTTACCATACTTGAGTACGTCTGCACATACTCTATAGAAGGGCACCCTCCTACGTAGCAGAAACCTGCTCATCTGGATCACAAACCCGGCAGGGCACTCACCCAACCGTATTTTTCCCATTTTTAATTAGTTTTTTAATTAATAAAAAGAGAACAGATTTCAAGTGGTTCATAGATAGAATTCTAAGAATATAATGATAGCTTCCTCCCTCCCTCCTCCTTTCTTTCTTTTTTTAATTTTTGCAATAACACATTTTTTAATTGACTTTATAATCCCACGCTTAATGCTTCACTAAATCAGGAGTTCAGCAAGCAAAAAGTAGAAGGATGACTTCTAGTCCTCATGAGCTCTCTCAGTCTCACCAAATGCCCCCCTAAAGTCTTTTTAACGAAAGGGCAGTGCACCCACGGGAGCTCCTTGGCCTTACAGAAGGGAGTCAGGGAGCCAACAGAAAATGACAGCACTGAGTGTGGCCACTGGGCAGTGGGAGGGGCAGCCCCCTGGGGCACTGCTTCACCAGCTGGGATTAGGAATGTTTACCTGATAGCACTCAAATGCCCAAAGAATTATGATTATTTTAATTATTATCATGATTGATGGTGGCATAAAGGGAACTACAGGCTCTTAGAAGATCTCTGGGCACACTGGTGGCTCCAAGTCCTCGACCATGAAGAAGGCAGTGTTTCCCACATTAAAGTCGGCGTCGGCAGGCTGGAGAATAAGCCGCATCTCAGCAGAACTGTGGTGAGAGGCTTACCAGGGGGGTGGGAGCAAGGACCAGGGATTGCTAGCGCCATCTGTGCCCAGGGCGCCACCCCAGTGTCCAGGCCCTTGCAGAGTTCCTGCCCTTCTGTCCCAGGCCCCCAGAGGTGACCGGCTGCTGAGCGGTGGCTCACCCAGATGGCTGAGAGCATCTCCTACCCCGCAAACCCTGACAGCCTCCTTCGCATCCGCCACCGTCCATCCCACCCAACGCCCCACACGCTTCCATTGCTCCTGTCAGACTCCCGGAGTGTGTTCCGCCCAGTGCTGCAAGTTCATTCCTGCTTCTCTCAAAGCCGTGGGCTTAGTCCATCCACCTCTCTGCTGCCCGCCCTGCATAGCATTTGGTCCAGGCTGCCATTGCTGTCCACTTGCACATCTGTGGCAACTTCTCCAGCTGCTGTCCTGGCTCCCGCTCCCACCTCCTCACAGTTCACTGCGCATGCCCCACACAAAGTGCCAATTTGAACAGATTTCAGCCCAGTCGTGGGGCTCACTGCTAAGCACTGTCTACAGGCCCCCTAAGATGCTTAGAGTGAAACCCCGATGTCAGACTCTCGGATGGCAGAGACCGACCATGTCAGCTGCCTAATGCCCGTTATCCTTTTCGGCTGCAATAAGAAATATGCTCAGTTTACCTTTTTAAAAAGCAAGACAAACAGCAAATAAAACCCCCTGATTTCCAGTCTTTCTTGAAACCAGGAGTCGTCAGCCTTGTGAATTAGTTCTGGCCAATGATAACAGAATTCTACTACAGAATCCTGGGAGAATTTTTACTTTCCTGATGCACATTGTTCCCCAGTCAGGTTGCCTTTTCTTCCTTTTTTCTGACCTGAATTACAACTGTGATGGCAGGACCTGGAGTAGCCATGTTGGCACCTTGAAGTGAAAGTCTAAGAGAATCCCTCAAATCTTGGCATCTTTAAACTAACATGAACAGTGATCCGCCTTTGAGAAAACTAACCCATCAGTACGTAGTAGTCAAGTTGCTGCTAGGCAAGGTGACGGTGATTGACAGATGTCCCATGGAGATCTGCATCTGCTGGCCTCCCCCACCCCGGTCCTCCCTCTTATTGTGTACCACTCTGGTTGGCCACAGTTGCCCCCTCACACCATCGCTTTCTTCGACGTTCTCTGTAGCACTCCTCTCCTCTTTATCCTCTGACTGCTAACGCTGGGATGCAGCCTTCCTGGAGATAGGAGCTTTATCCGCGTGTTTTCCTACTCCCTGCTCACTAGCTGGTGTTGCAAACAGTGGCAGAGACTTGGTAAATATTTGCTGCATCATGCAACAGAGGGATTCCGCTCTCAGGTACAGTGTCTCTACTAACCCGTTCCTGAACGTGAGCTACAACTGTAGTGAAGATTATATGTGGTGGGGGCATCGTCATGCCTGGTGCGTCCTCTCTCTTGTTCCATCCTACAGGGAAGGAGAAGGACACAGATCTCCTGAGGAGAATGAAGTGACCAAGCTAACCATGCTTGCTTGCTTGCTCGTTCTAGTTGGCTTCATTTATCTGTTTAAAATTTGTTTATTTATTTGAGAGACAGAGAAACAGAGACAGACAGAGAGAGCACTCCCCATGTGCTGGTTCACTCCCCAAATGCCTGCAATGCCCAGCGCTGAGTCCCTGGTCTC